CGATGGTTCTTCCAACAAATGGCTTAGTAACTCTTGGATGTATTTGTTTTTATCCTCTTCTGATAATCTTAAAAAATCTTTTTTTTTGATGAAATATCCATATTGTGGCGTTGAATGCTAATAACCGAATAATTTTAACTTACACTTCACTGAAACGTGGAACTCACGATAAAAGTGCATTTCAATACATCACTGAATGTTGCAAAATGTTCTTATATAGTTTCCAATCAAATGCAACACATGGGCGGTTGTTGACTTTAAGGGGCCTATGCCAAATTTTGTGCAAATCGAGTAAATATTGGGGCTTTCGTATTCTATTTACATAAAATCGGACGACAATATGTATGGGAGCTACATCAAAATCTGAACCGATTTTCAGAAATCTTAGCACACGTCATTTCAGACTTAGTTTAGTATGCTATGACAAATTTCGTTAAAATCGAAAAATATATAGCATTTTTGGTGCACCATTTACATAAAATCGGATGAAAATATATTTGGGAGCTATATCTAAATCTGAACCGATTTTCACGACACTTTGCACACTTCATTCTAGACCCAATTAAGTTCGCTATGCCAAATTTCGTTTAAATCGAAAGATATATTGAGACGTTGGTGTACCATTTACATAAAGTTGGATGAAAATATATATGGGAGCTATATCTAAATCTGAACCTATTTTAACGAATTTCAATAAGGTTCATCCTTGGGCCAAATAAACGTGCTGTGCCTAATATGACTATTCTCAAAAGTAACCAGGTGTCTACTTCGTCTCCGCTTGTTGGTACCAACATATGGACGAAGACATAATACCCTGTACCAAAGTATGGCCAAGGATATAAAATTGTCAGTCGGTGTTGCCGGCATTCGGAGCCTATGATATATAGATGTTGGAGCTATATATCCGTTAGTTGCACTAATTCTATACCTATACCGAAGTTACCATTCGGATTATATTACCAAATCGGATATTTCAACCTCTTCATGGGAAATTTACAAGTTTTCAAAATTTTGAGGTGGTGACAGAAGGAGTGAACTGATTAGGCTTCTATTCCATTCTAAAATCAAATTAAGTACCATTTAGTACACAGAAGTACGAACTGCCAAAACTTTCTACATACCCCAATCCTACGTTCCAAACTTAATTCCAAATTTCATGATTCCAACCCTATCGTCTTTATGTTGTTATATATTTGTCTAAATAAGCATATAAAACACCAATCTGGGAGTTCTTGGACCTCGAGCCGTGGTTCGGAGAAATGTCCGTTCGCACTTCTAAAGGGGTTTCTGTTACCTTTTGAACTTATATAGAGATTCTGCTTACCATAATTATTATTATATCTCGCCATGAAAAGTTTCTCTATGGGCTGAATATAATTGTGGAAATAAAAAAAGGCGTGTGGTCTTTATTCGGAACCCGAACCCCAAGCAAATTTGCATTGAGATCGATGTAATATAACAACCTGTACGATCAACCAAATAGGCGTATAAACGAACGTGCTAATTTAGTTTGATTTATCTTGAAATTAGCCGAAAGGCTAAAAATTCGCGACAAGTCGTAGATAATGCAGACTATATATTCACAATTAAAGTTTCGTTCAAGAATCAGAGGCTAAAGGGTTCCAAGTTAAAAATTGTCTGACCCTTGACTAATATCTTGTAGCATCGTTATAGGATGAATATTTCAAAACAATTCGATTATAAAAAATAATTTTTTAATTCGTCAGTATTTTCTAGCAATACACAGTGCAGCCTTAACAAATCAAGGCTATTGAGACCTATTACTAATGAAAAGGTTTTACCGCAGGTTTATAGAGGTCTTATTAGGATATTCCAAGAGATTTAGGTCTACATGTAAAGGACTAAAATCTTATGTCGGCAATTGTGTGTCAAAATAATGAGAACATTGAAATGTGAGTGGGAGAGAGAAAAGTGTCCCGTCCTCTACAGTGACTATTTGTTGTCAAATATTAGCGATATATTACTTACAGCTGCTACAAAATCTACTGCCGCAGTTGTATAAATAAAATGTTGGTCATAATAGTTAAACTCCACCTCAGTAATTGCATTGTACTCATACAAAATGCTATGCTCATTATCTGTTCGGAGATGAATACAAGTAAGTATGTTCTTGTGGGAACTTTGATAATTCCGTTTCCAAATCATAAATTTTATCCAGACTTCTGGGCACTATAACCTTTCATTAACATCATCAGCAGATTATAACATATAAATTTTAATATCTGTCCAAAATATCCATGTCAAATGCCTTTGTGCTTCGGCCAAAACATTCCCTTTGCAGTGAATTTATGCATGCAATAATTGCCCATTACATTTGTCTAATTAAAATGATTTTTTACCATGTTCGTTTGTTTCGAACATGTCGGACTACTCAAAGATATATGAACGTGCAAAACACAAACACACACATTCATTCATTTGTTTGTCATTCATTCATTATTTCATAGATGCTATGCAAAGCCAAGCAAACAAACAGACAAAAAAGAACAAAAGGCATCAATTTCAATTGTTCGCCTGTCCGCCTGCCTGTCTGCCTCGCAGATGTGTGTGTTTGCATGTAGTCAATAGCATTTCCGGCTAATGTTCTCAACAGCTTTCCTTTTATGAATCTCGTCTCTCTTGTTTGACTAAGTAAATGCAATGAGAAGCCTTAGATGGTCCGTACAACTAAGGGGTAGGTATATAGACGTTCAAATAGGTAAGGAGAAACTCTATAGAGGCCCGTGCATGAGGTAAGGAGGGGACTATAAAGGTCCATATAGATAAGCAAGATCACTATAAAGATCCATATAGGTATGTAGTAGCACTATAAATGTTCATATAGGTTAGTTATGTGCAGCAGGATATCGATAGAGGTACATATAGGTAGGGAGGGGGTTAACATAGGTCTTTATAGTGAAGTAGAAGCTCAATAGAGGTCCGTATAGGTAAGAATGAGTTTTACAAAGGCCCATATATGTAGGGTCGGTATTGGAATGAAGTAGCTCTATAAAGGTAAATATAGGTATGAAAGATCTTTGTAGAGGTCCGCATAGGTATAGATGAGCTCTTTAGTGGTAAGAAATATCTATATAAGCAAGAGCATTATGGAGGAGGTGTTCCATATAGGTATGCAGTAGCATTGTACATGCCCAGGAATACTATGAAGGTCAATATAGTGCAGCAGGAGATTTATATTGTTCCATATAGGTAGGGAAGAGTTTTACATAGGTCTGTATAGGTAAGCAGAAGCTCAATAGAGGTACGCAGAGGTATTAATGAGCTACATAGGGAGGAGCTTTATGGAGGTCCGTATTGATGTGGAGTAGCTGCACAGAGGCCCGTATAAGCATGGAGTCGTTCAATAAAGGTTAATATGGGTATGAAGAATCTCTGTAGAGGTCCGTATAGGTATGAAGAAGTTCTATAAAATTTCGTACAACTAAGGATGAGGTCTATAGATTACCATATAGGCACGAAGGAGGTCTATACAGATTACCATATAAGTTTGAGCATTATAGTGGTATGCAGTAGCACTATACATGTCCTGTATTGACAGCACTATAAAGGTCATTATCGTGTAGCAGGAGATCTATAGAAGTCCATATAGGTAGTGAGAAGTTTTAAAAAGGTCCGTTTAGGGAAGAATAAGCTCAATAGATGTCCGAATGGGTATGAATGAGCTTCATAGAGGCTGGTATAGGTAGGGAAGTGCTTGATAGAGGTCTGTATTGGTATGGAGTAGCACTATATAGATCAATATGGGTATGTATGATCTCTGTAGAGGTCCGTAGATGTATGGAGGTGCTCTGTAGAGGTCCGTATAGGTATGGAGAAGATCGATAGAGGTTTCTATAGGTATGGAGGAGCCCCGTAGAGGACCTTATATGTATGGAGGAGCTCTATAAAAGTCGGTTAAAGTAAGCTTTAGCTATATGCAGGTTATTTAGAGGTCAGTAAAGACAAGGAGGTGCTCAATAGAGATCTGTAGTTATAAGAGAAACTTTACAAGGATCTGTATAGGTAAGAAGCAAATACATAGAGGTGTTTATAAGTAAGTATAAAGGTTAGTATAGATAAATATGACTGTATAGGCAAGAACAAGCTCAATAGTGGTCCGTATAGCGATTGAGGTCTTGGAGATAATTCGATTTGAAGATGTCTATATAAGTAAGGAGAAGTTTTATGTAGGTCCATACAGGTAAGGGGGAGCTCTATAGAGGTCCATACGTGCGAGCGAGAACTCTATAGAGGGTTATATAGGTAAGGAGAACTTCTATGTATGTCCATAGATGTGAGTGTATGTAAGATATAGTCCATATTTGTAAGGAAGAGTTATTTACAGATCCGTATAACTAAGATTGTGCTGTATAAAAGTCAATACAGGTATAGATGAGATCTGTAGACCTTCAAATAGTCAAGGGAGATTTACGTGGCTATAGAGGAGCTTCATAGACGTTCGTATGAGTAGGAGATCTATATAGGTCAGTATAGATCGGAAGGAACTCTATAGAGATGTGCATAAGAAATAAAATAGGTGATAAAAAAAAGCTCAATTTACGAAGAGGTCCGTATATAAAATAAGTAGCTGCATAGAGGTCTTTCCAGGAATAATAGTACTTAATAGATTTCTACAGAACTTTATACCACTTGTTAATGTGCCAAGCTTCTCCTTCATACTTCCAAGCATTCAATTCTGGAAATCACACAAATGAGGCAATTTTTTCCGATTTTTTAAATTTCTCCTCTATCTACCTCCTGAATCCGCCAACAAATTGATGAATATCGTTAATTATTGTTTACGAAAGACACCAACAAACAATTTGAATTTCGCTGCATGTTTTTCACACCTCATCATTTCCCCACATACATATTCATGTAAAAAACCCCTAACCACCCCTCGTCCGTTGCATGTTGTCAAACCGCAAAAACATCACATCAAACCCAATTAATCCGATGTAGTGTTTGTCCTTTTTTGCTCGTGTTGTCATCATACTTACATATACTCCTGATTGGAATGATTCATTGTACCATCTGGCCATTCAGGAAAACAAACCGTCCGTATGCCATCCTTGCTGGATATATCCTCGGTGGTGTAGAACAACAGCATCGGACACGATATGATGGCCGAGGCAATCCAGATAACGGCGGCAATGCCCAAATTACTGCGTTTGCTCATACGTGGTTTCAAAGGCTTCATTATGGCCACATACCTGGAATGAAAAGAAAAAAGAAGAAGAGGAAGACAAAAATGGGTATGTGTGTTGTTAAATGAATCTCTTGTTAGTGGTGGGAAAAAATATGTAGCTTTTTAAAAATCAACCGAAGTGAAATTTCAAAATTGTTAAAAGTCTATTTACCGGTCTATCGTAACAAGTCTTCAACGGGTTGGAAAAAAATGTTGCATTAAGGATTTTTTCATATTTTCCATTTCGTTGGAAAATTAATTTCTGCTACTTATTGGGTGGCAGCTGTTTTTTCTTTTTCCATTCCATTTAATAATAAAATCAGGCTATTTTGAGTTTATCTTCTGGGAATTCGTTTTTTGGTCGGTTCGCATCCCCAGTTTTTGGCAAAATTTATTGACATTGGAATATTTTTTTTCCTTCTCATGAAAAGTTTTGAGGTTAATTAAGAACTTTTTGGAAAAAGGTTTTGTAATTAAATGCTTATTAATTAGCGGGCATAATTGGACATCTCTATGGAAAATATGTTGCTGTTATAATTTTTGTAACAAGTTGGTAGTAAAATAAATCCGAGGCTTGTATATGCAATAAATGATTGCTAAATATTTTCAGAAGAGTATACAGCTCTGAGACTGGCGATCTAAACCCCGAAATTTGTAGACGACCCTATGACTTGATATGAGTCTAGATACAAATCTTACACTTTCCTTACTGATTCAGTATTCAGTTTCGAATGCCATGGGACTATGTCAAAACATGGACTAATATTGAAAAGTTCAGCATTTGAGAAACGATATTTCAGGCATAAAAGATGAGAAAACTGATTATATCGAACATAGGACTAAATCCTTCAGAAGCGGCACCGTATCAAGGAAATAAATCCGTGTTTTCCAACTAGTTAGTTAGTTAGTTTGAAAAAGAGGGGTGGTTTACACCACCACATGTCCGTTGTGGGACATACACTTAAGCCAATAGGAGGCCTGTTGTGCGCTCTAGGAAGGGAAGTTATTTAGATTGAATTATTCTCTCTATTCTTCTAGGAATTCTGTGTTCTTACTGAAGTCCTTTAGTATTTTCCATTCACACCCCCTTAGGTCATTTAGTTCAGAAATAGTGTCGATTTTCAAGAATTGGGTTCGAATGCATGCAAAGGCCGGGCAGTGACCAACTAAAGTTGGTGTAACATACATCATATGTAATGATTTTATCCACATGTTGAATAGATATTTTTGCTCTGCAAAGACATTTGCTAATTAACAGCCATTTTGGGAGCTCTTTTAACAATTACTATACTGATCTCTCGTTTTATTTAAAGAACACATTTTTTTGAGCTCCTCCTTACCTACATGGGCTTTATCTATGATGATCTTTATCTTCCAAAATAAACAGATTACTATAAAATTCTACCATAAATACAAGGTTGCCCACATTCGACGGACCCATGTTTTTTTTAAATCAAAGAAAAAAATAAAAATTTGGCGGTTGGAAATGTTAATCATTTAATTTGTTCCAAGTAGATTTGTTTACATATATTGTTGAATATGATATCTCTCAAATGGCCGCCGCTGGCGTTGATGACGTATTGTGCCCTTTTTGCTGCATTTTCCATCGTTTTGACAACATTTCGGCCGGAATAGCGGCTATTTTTTCACGAATGTTGTCCTTGAGCTCGTCTACGGTCCCTGACTTGTTAACGTAAACCTTTGACTTCAAATATCCCCACAAGAAGAAGTCAGGCGTCAAATCGAGCGAACGCGGTGGCCAATCCATATCACCACTTTTCGACATCAAACGGCCCGGAAACAAATTCTTCAGAAAATCGATTGCTACGCGACTTGTGTGCGGTGGAGCGCCGTCTTGTTGAAACCAGAACTGCCTCATACGCTTTCGACGAATAATTGGCATCACAAAATTGGTCATCATGTCGCGATAATGCTCCTGATTGATGGTAACAGCATGGCCATTTTCATTTTGGAAGAAAAACGGCCCAATGACCGTTTTCGCGCTAACGCCGCACCTAACTGTGACTTTTTCGTCATGAAGAGGCACTTCATGAATCTCCTGAGGATTATCAGTGGCGTAAAAACGGCAATTTTGCTTATTTACGGTCCCATTCAATGTGAAATGGACTTCCTCGGACATGATAATTTTGTTCCAAAATTGCTAGTCATCTTCGGCCATTTCAATGATTCTTTGGACCCATTCCAATCGACGAGGCTTGTCCGCAGGCAACATTCTTTGCGTCAATTGAATTTTGTACGGGAACAAATGCAAATCAATGCGAATAATCCGTTGTAAAGTGGACCGAGCCATGCCCAACTGCTGAGAACGGCGTTTTTAAGATGTTCTTGGGGACCTCTCAACACTGGCTCGTACGGCAGCGATATTCTCGGCCGATCGCCTTGGTCGACTTTTATATGGCCTCTTCGGATTAGAAAGAGCCTTACCAGTCGAAAATTTTTCGTATAAACGCTTAATGGTGTTCTTAGAAGGCACACTTCTCACATTTTTTAATGTTTTAAAAATCTGCTTGGACTGACGCTTCAAACGCGGTATGTCATTAAGCGATGTGACATCTCTGTCAAAAGTTATGGTGTTGCCAGATGGGTCCGTCGAATATGGGCAACCCTGTACACGAACCTTCTTACAGCTCCTCTGCAGAGCTCCTCCATACCTATAAATACATCTATACACCTCCTTCTTATCTATAAGGCCTCTAAAGTGCTCCTTCTTAACTATACGAATTTCTAAAGCCTACTGTTTACCTATGATGACCTTTACATGTTCCTCCTCATATATACATATATCATTATTAAGCTTCTCCATACATATACGAAATGTATAGAGCTTATCCATACCTATAACAACCTGTATATAGCTTCTCTATACCTATAAAGACATCTTTAGAGCTCCACCATACCTATAAATACCTATATAGAGCTACTCCTTTCATATAAGAACCATACCTATAAGGAGATACCCATTGTCAATATGGACCTTCATAGGCCTACTCCTAACCTATTCCTTACATATATGGTCATCTATAGAACTCAAACATACATATGTCATGGGTCCTACTTTCATACACATACCTATATGGATCTCTGTTCAGACCTTTCATACCTACACAGATATCTATAGAGCTCCTCCTTTATGGCCATCTGTAAAGCTTCTCCAACTGTACGACCTCTATATAGCTCATTTTCACCACACAGACCCCTATAGAGCTCCATGTTATCTATACGGAACCCTAAATAGTTCCATCTTACCTATACATACCTCTATAGATATCCATCTTACCTATACTGACCTCTATAGATCTCTATATCACATATACGGACCTCTAGAGCGCTTATTTTCACCTATAAGGACCTATATAGAGCTCCTTCTTACATATGTGGACCTCTATATAATTTCTTTTCACCTTTATGGATCTCTATAGAGCTCCTAATAATATTAGGTTGAGGAAAAAGAAATCCATTATTTTTATATGAAGTATAGGACTTTTTATACCCTGCACGACTATGTTGTCAGGGTATTATAGCTTTGTGCAGCCCCAAATATTTAGCGGGCCAATTGGACCCTGACTTTTGTGTGAAAAATGACAAAATTTGTATTCTAAAGCGTATATATTTACTCCAGAAGGACATAGAGCCGAGAAGTTGATAGTATATCCAAAAGGAGTTGTTGACCTTTAAATGGATGCCAATTATATGTACTCGCATGCGGGAGTTACACTTAAATATTTACGGGTGCTTACATATTCAGAAATTATTTAGTAACCCATTACCCCACTAGAGGGCGAATATATAGCTCTGATGGCTTTGAATTGTTCCATCAGGTTCTAGTTATGGTCAAGGACAATGCCTATAATTTTCCGTGATGATCAGATAATAATATTGGAATGAAGTGGACCGAAAACTTAATTATTTGTGTTTTTTTTTTCAAGTCGATCTACAGGTCACAATTGAAAGCTCAACATCACAACATACAACCACGGTAAAGAGAATCTGGAATCTAGAGGGTGCAAATATCGCGAAATATTCCCCATGCTCTGAATACAGAACAATAGAAAGTTAGATTTTCGTCGAAGTTGTGTAGGGTATCTTATGGTCGGCCCCGTCCGACTATACTGCTCCGCTCACTGGTTTAACATGCTTCTGAATGTCCGATTTGGGTAAACTATGCACCATTTTGTTGTATGATTTGTTCCCATTTTAAAGGTAACTTCATAATGCCTCCCCCATAGAAGTCCTGCTCTCTATGTGCAAAAAACTCTAGTAGTCGATTTTCACAATCCTCCCTAGATACCAATTTTTTATCATTAAAGAAAGGCGGATGCATTAAAACTTCCCAACCAAGCTCCCGAAGTTTCTGGCGAGTCACTGTAGATGTGTGTGGCCTAGCGTTGTCCTGGTGTAACACGAAACCTCTTCTATTGGTCAATTCTGGTCAATTGCTATCTTTAAACTGTCCAGTAGTTTGCAGTAGAGATCAGAATTTAGCGTTTGGCCATAACCTTCCAGTCCCACCAAATGCATAGCAGAACCTTCTTGGCCGTTTGTCCTGGTTTGAACACCGTTTGAGGTGGTTCACCGCCCTTTGACTACGGTCGTTTTCGCACAGGGTTATCGTATGTGATCCATTTCTCATATCCAATCACCATCCGTTTAAGAAATGGATTCATTTCATTTTAGCCAAGGCTTCGCAATTGGAAGTTCGATACATCCTATTTTTTCTGTTAATTGGTGTGCCACCCATTCATCGAGCTTTTTTTTGAATCCAGCTTTGTTTAAATGGTTTAAAAACAGTTTTATGGTCGATTTTTAGCTATTGGGCGATGTTACTACTGCTAACATGCCGGTCAACTTCGATCATATCTCCGATTTTATCGACATTTTCGACGACCGTCCTAATGGATTTCCTTTTCCCCATCCTAATATATGGGGTTCTTCTCACTTCACCTCTACAGAGCTTATTCTCACCTAAACATACCTCTATGAAACTCCTTCTCATCTATACGAACC